TCCCCAGGATTGAATGTCAGCCACATTTAGCAGCAGCCAATTTAATAATGTACCTTCTGGCCACAGTGACTCACGCCTGTAATCTCAGCACTTTTTGGGAGGCCGAGGTGGGCAGATCACTTGAGATCAGGAGTTCCAGGCCAGCCTGGCCAACATGGTGAAACGCCATCTCTACTAAAAATACAAAATTTAACTGGGCGTGGTGCCATGCACCTGTAGTCCCAGCTACTTGGGAAGCTGAGGCAGGAGAATCACTGGAACCCAGGAGGCAGAGGTTGCAGTGAGTAGAGATTGTGCCACTGCACTCTGGCCTGGGTGACAGAGCAAGCATCTCAAAAAAAAAAAAAAAAAACCCAAAGAATAATAGTGTACTTTCCTTCTAGTATCTACTCTCCCTCCTTTATGGCCTCTCTCCTGCTCTCCTCGTGCCCTGCTCCCTGAAATTGCACTCCGTAATAAATTAGTAGTACATAAGATTTTGCCTCAGGCTGTGCTCCCTGGAGAATCCAGGCTGAGACAGTTGGTACTTTCCACATGATTCTACCGCCTTTAAGTTAAGCCATCTGTACATCTCCCTGGTGATGGATAGAACACCGAGATCCCGGAGCTGTTAAACACCGAGCAGCAAATGCAGACCTGCTCCCTGCTCCTCTGTATGAGTGACGTCTCAAGAGTATAAAGGTGGGTCGGGCACAGTGGCTCATTCCTCTAATCTCAGCACTTTGGGAGGCTAAGGAGGGCAAATCGCTTGAGGCCAGGAGTTCCAGACCAGCCTGGCCAACAGGACAAAATCCTGTTTCTTCAAAAAGTACAAAAATTAGGAGGGCAGTGGTAATCACAGCTCACTGCAGCCTCAAACTCTTGGGCTCAAGGCATCCTCTGACTTCAGCCTCCCAAGTAGCTCAGATTACAGACACATGCCACCACACCTGGCTTATTTATTTATTTATTTTTTGAGACGGAGTTTCGCTCTTGTTACCCAGGCTGGAGTGCAATGGCGCAATTCGGCTCACCGCAACCTCCGCCTCCTGGGTTCAAGCAATTCTCCTGCCTCAGCCTCCCGAGTAGCTGAGACTACAGGCGTGTGCCACCATGCCCAGCTAATTTTTGTATTTTTAGTAGAGATGGGGTTTCACCATGTTGACCAGGATGGTCTCGATATCTTGACCTTGTGATCCACCCGCCTCAGCCTCCCAAAGTGCTGGGATTATAGGCGCGAGCTACCATGCCCGGCCAATTTTTTTATATTTAATAGAGATGGGGTTTCACCATGTTGGCCAGGCTGGTCTCGAACTCCTGGCCTCAAAGTGATCCACCCACCTTGGCCTCCAAAAGTGCTGGAATTATAGGTGTGAGTCACCATGCCTGGCCAACTTTTCTTTAATAAGTAGAAAAACACTCTAACAATAAAAAATATCCTATCATCATAAACCAGTAACATAGTTGTTTATTGTTAAATATTTTGTATTGTACATGATTATGTGTCCTTGAGGGCGCCCTTCCTGCAGTCCAGGAAGTAAGGATCTCATCGGTGAATGAAAGACCCTTTGTCTCAGTGCTGATTTTTCTTTGTGGCACCGAGCATCTATTTCCACCATTTACTTTTTGTGAGATGGAGTCTTGCTGTGTTGCCCAGGCTGGAGTGCAGTGGTCCAATCTCAGTTCACTGCAACCTCCACCTCCTGGGTTCAAGTGATTTCCCCGCCTCAGCCTCCTAAGTAGCTGGAATTACAGGTACCCGCTACCATACCAGGCTAATTTTTGTATTTTAAGCAGAGACAGGGTTTCACCATGCTGATAGTCTGGTCTCGAACTCCTGACCTCAGGTGATCCTCCCACCTCGGCCTCCCAAAGTGTTGGGATTACAGGCTTGAGCCGCCGTGCCTGGCCTATGTGCTAGACTTTTATGTGACTGGCAGCACAGTGGGTTTGCTTATACCGGCATCATCACGAACACGTGAGCAATGTCTGTGATATGACATATCCACGCTGTCACTAAGAGACAGGAGCTTTCCAGCCCCATTATAGTCTTAGAGGACTGCCATCTATGCGGTCTGTCATTAACAGAGCGTTCTTATGCAGTGTGTGACTGCACACATACCTGTTGAATTGATGATCAGTGTGTGGTAGAATCCAGGGTACGTTATTTCCCTTGGGTAGGCTGTGTTAAATGACTTGGGGCAGAGGATGGTTTGCAATCTTTAGAGATAAGCAGCCTTTCTGCTCATTAAGCAATACATTTCTCTGACCTTTTTTTCATTACATGTCCAATTTTTATTCTTTTGCCCAGAGAGTCAGGGTCACTAAAGAGCTTATTGATAGTGCAAAACAAAAACTCTCTGTATTTCCCCTCTGCCTCTCAAGGGCTTGGAGGGTGTCAGCGCCCTCAGGAGAGGCTCACCTTGACCCATCTCCTCCTTTGACAAATGAGATAGACACGGGGTCCAAGAGGTATAGGGACTTGTCCAGGGCCCACGGATAAACCAGTACAAAGCCCCTGGAGATGGTCATGGCAATTTCTCAGGAGGGATCTGAGACATGAAGGACGGAATGTGTGATGAGTTCATTGGTGTGGGTGGCTGGGTGCAGTGGCTCACACCTGTCATCCCAGCACTCTGGGAGGCTGAGGTGGGGGGATCACTTGAGGTCAGGAGTTCCAGACTAGCTTGGCCAATGTGGTGAAACCTCATCTCTACCAAAAATACAAAAATGTGCTGGGCATGGTAGTGTGTGCCTGTAATCCGAGCTACTTGGGAGGTTGAGGCAGGAGAATTGCTTGAGCCCGGGAGGCAGAGGTTGCAGTGAGCTGAGATTGCACCACTGCACTCCAGCCTGTCTCAAAAAAAAAAAAAAAAAAGGGGGGGGGGCAGTATTCCAACAACCCTTAACTTGGGTGCTGGCTGCCTCAATGTAGGGGAAATATGTGGTTTCCTGGACACGGATCCAGCCTTCCTTATTTAATAGCTCTGTGACCCCTGGGTATGTCACTTAACCTCTCAGTACTCCAGCGTCACCATCTGTAAAATGAGGCGAGTCAGAATGATAATCCCCCTGCCCAGCGTTCTTACAAGGATTAAATGCACTCATCCATCCCAGGAAAATCTTCGGTACAGTTATCAGCCTGGACTCCTCACTAGTTTGCTAAAAGAGGCCAGGTTTGGGTGGCAAAAAGCAAATGGGCTTCTGATTGTCTGGGGTAGGGGATATTTAACCTGGCCCCACTTTTATGAAACAGGTTAAACGTTCCTCCAGTTCCTCCACGCCCCTCCCATCTTGCTTCTCTCCTCCCCTGAGGTCTCCTTTCTGTCTTCCTCAGAAATAAAGACAAAAAGGAGGAAAAGAGGGTGCTAAACCTGCCCATCAACACTTCATGTTTTTAAGGTTTTTGTTTGTTTGTTTGTTTTTTGAGACAGAGTCTTACTCTGTCGCCCAGGCTGGAGTGCAGTAGTGCTATCTCTGCTCACTGCAACCTCCACCTCCTGGGTTCAAGTGATTCTCCGGCCTCAGCCTCCCAAGTAGCTGGAACTAAAGGCATCCACTACCATGCCTGGCTAACTTTTGTATTTGTAGTAGAGACGGGGTTTCACCATGTTGGCCAGGCTGGTCTTTAACTTCTGACCTCAAATGATCCACCCAGCTTGATCCTCCCAAAGTGCTAGGATTACAGGTGTGAGCCACGGTGCCTCGCTTATTTTTAAGTTTTTTTTTTTTTTTTTTTTTGAGGCTGTCTTGCTGTTCCCCAGGCTGAAGTGCAGTGGCATGATTCTTTACTCACTGCATCCTTGACTTCCTGGGCTCAAGTAATTCTCCCACCTCAGCCTCCTGAGTAGCTGGGACCACAGGTGTGCACCACCACATCTGCATAATTGTTTGTTTTGTAGAGACAGGGTTTTGCCAGGTTGCCCAGGCTGGCCTCAAGCTCCTGGGCTCAAGCACTCCCCCCACCTCAGGCTCCCAAAGTGCTGGAATTACAGGGGTGAGCCACCATGCCTGGCCCAAAAAAAGTTTTTTGTAACCTGGGCAACATAGCAAGACCCAGTCTCTACAAAATAAGCATTTTTTTTTTTTTTGAGATGGAGTTCCGCTCTTGTTACCCAGGCTGGAGTGCAATGGTGCGATCTTGGCTCACCGCAACCTCTGCCTCACTGCAACCTCCGCCTCCTGGGTTCAGGCAATTCTCCTTCCTCAGCCTCCTGAGTAGCTGGGATTACAGGCATGTGCCACCGTGCCCAGCTAATTTTTTGTATTTTTAGTAGAGACAGGGTTTCACCATGTTGACCAGGATGGTCTCGATCTCTTGACCTCGTGATCCACCCGCCTTGGCCTCCCAAAGTGCTGGGATTACAGGTGTGAGCCACCGTGCCCAGCCCCACAAAATAAGCATTTTAAAGCTAGCCAGCATGGTGGGTCATGCCTATAATCGCAGCTACTAAAGGGAATCCAGAATCACTTGAGCCCAGTGTCCAGGCTGCTGCAGCCGGGGTGACAGAGCAAGACCCTGTCTCCAAACAAAATATATACATTTATATATATATATATATAAACAGATATTTATATATCATATATTTTAAAATGTATATTATATATTATATACATTTATATATTTTAAATATACATTATGTATTTTAAAATATGTATTTATGTAGGGCACGGTGGCTCACACCTGTAATCCCAACACTTTGGGAGGCCGAGGCGGGCGGATCACGAGGTCAGGAGATCCAGACCATCCTGGCCACCATGGTGAAATCCCATCTCTACTAAAAATACAAAATAATTAGCTGGAAGTAGTGGTGCACGCTACTCAGGAGGCCGAGGCAGGAGAATTGCTTGAACCCGAGAGGCAGAGATTGCAGTGAGCCAGGATCACACCACTGCACTACAGCCTGGGTAACAGTGCAAGACTCCGTCTCAAAAAATGTATTTATATATTTTATATATTATATATTTTTAAATATATATGTGATATATATACACTTTATTGTTTGGTTTTATTTTCAAAGAAGCTAATGGTACCCGGCTTCCTGGAGAGACCAGCATGGCCCTTCCAAGCCACTAGAGGGCGGCGCTGCTCACGGCCTCAGTCTGCGCTTTCTCTGCAGGAGCCTACCTGTGCCCTAAGGCAGGAGGGTGCCCTGACTCAGGAGGTCTTCGAGGCCCTTCCTCTCCTGGATCTTGTTCTACGAAGCGGGCCAGTGCTGCGCACGCTCTTTGATCTCTCCAAGGGTAGCAGGAAGCAGCTGCAACTCCCTTTCTGTGGTCACCGGTGGCCCAGTTGACCCAGGTGTTGCCAGCCGTTCAGGGCCCTGGGGCAGGCCCAGGAGCAGGAGCGTCAGCCCCGGGACCCCGGCCTGCAGGAGAGGGAGGGGACCAGCCCTGGGGGAATGTTCCTTTGTGACCCAGGAGGATAGGGCAATGGAAGCAGCCTACTTGGAGAACGGGGAGAAGAAGTAGAAGGACGGACGTTCCTCCCACAAGGTGGGCGCCATCTTCAAGACAAGAGCAGCCGAGGCCCGGTGCATCGCTCATGCCTGCAGTCCTAGCACTGTGGGCGGCCCAGGCGGGCGTATCTCTGGAGCCCAGAAGTTCGAGACCAGCCTGGTCAACATGGCAAGCCCAGACTCTACAATAAATATAAAAACTATCCAGGCGTGGTGGTGTGTACCTGTGGTACCAGCTACTCAGGAGGCTGAGGTGGGAGGATTGCTTGAGCCGAGGAGGTTGAGGCTGCAGTGAGCTGTGATGGTGCCACTGGACTCCAGCCTGGGTGACAAACAAGGCCAAGTGTGGTGGCTTACGCCTATAATCACAGCACTTTGGGAGTTTGAGGCAGATGGATCATAAGGTCAGGAGTTTGAGACCAGCCTGGCCAACATGGTGCAACCCCATCTCTACTAAATTACAAAAAATTAGCGGGACATGGTAGTGTGCACCTGTAGTCCCAGCTACTGAGGGAGGCTGAGGCAGGAGAATTGCTTAAACCCGGGAGGCGGAGGTTGCAGTGAGCTGAGATCACGCTACTGCATTCCAGCCTGGGCAACAGAGTGAGACTCCATCTCAAAAAAAAAAAAAAAAAAAGAGAGAGAGAGAAGGAGACAAGGAATGGGGCTAGGGGAGTGGCTGAGTGGCCCTCTCCTGATCTCCTCCCAGGCAGGGACTTGGAGTGGGCATGCCTCATTGCCTTGAACTTCTCATGGACAGCAGGGAGCTCTGCCTCCACCTTCACAGACAGCACCCTGCCCACCCACCTGAGAGGGAGGCGGATACTGATGCAGGCTGTCCTGTGAGAGGGAGAGGTGCCTGGGGGTGGTCACAGCTGCAGCTGCAGCAAACTTCTAGCTCTCATCACCTCATCCTTCTCTCAAGCCAGGCCTCCGGCCCCTCAACCTCAGCCTTCCCAGATGTCCTCACTCTATTCTTTTGTTTTGTTTTTTTTGGGACAGAGTCTCTCTCTGTTGCCCAGGCTGGACTGAACTGTCACAGTCTGCTCACTGCAACCTTCGACTCCCAGGTTCAAGTGATCCTCGTGCCTCAGCCTCCGAGTAGCTGGGATTACAGGCGTGCACCACCACACCCAGCTCGTTTTTGTAATTTTTTTTTTTTAATTTTTTTATTTAAAAAAAATTTTTATCTTTTTAAAAATTTTTTCTTGATTCAAAACCACCATCAGAAGAATCATTTTTGTAATTTAAATACAGTTGAGGTTTCACTGCGTTGGTCAGGTTGGTCTCGAACTCTTAACCTCAGGTGAGCCACCTGCCTTGGCCTCCAAAGTGCTGGGATTACAAGATGAGCCACTGAACCCAGCCCTCACTCTATTCTTAAATATGAGTCCCTCTCCCAAAGCTCCAGGAGCACCCTCTTGGCCACATTCTAAGGCTCCATCCAGCCCACCCCACCACAAAGTGAGAATTCAGAGAAAGTGACTAAAACCAAGCCATGAAGAGAGCATGAGTCTGCTTCTGTGAGGTGCCTGTGAGACAGCCTCAGAATACCATTGACATGAGGAATATTCATTCTTTGGGAAATTAAGGGCTATAAAAATCTAATGGTATTTTTTTTTTTTTTTTTTTTGAGACAGAGTTTTGCTCTTGTTGCCGAGGCTGGAGTGCAATGGCATGATCTCGGCTCAGGCATACGCCAACATACCCGGAAAATGTTGTATTTTTAGTAGAGACAGGGTTTCTCCATGTTGGTCATGCTGGTCTCAAACTCCCAACCTCAGGTGATCCACCTGCCTCAGCCTCCCAAAGTGCTGGAATCATAGGTGTAAGCCGGAATTACAGGCATGAGCCACTGCGCCCAGCTCTAATGATATGTAAAACAACAAGAAAAGGGCTGGGCACGGTGGCTCACATCTGTAATCCCAGCACTTTGGGAGGCTGAGGCGTGTGGATCATCTGAGGTCAGGAGCTTGAGTGAGACCAGTCTGGCCAAAATGGTGAAACTACCTCTCTACTAAAAATACAAAATTAGCTGGGCGTGGTGGCGCATACCTGTAATCCCAGCTACTCAGGAGGCTGAGGCAGGAGAATCACCTGAACCCAGGAAGGGGAGGTTGCAGTGAGCCGAGATCAAGCCATTGCACTCCAGCCTGGGCAATAAGAGGGAAGCTCCATCAGAAAAAAATAAAATAAAAAGCCAAGAAATAGAGTCCTGTGGAATCCAGAGATGACTGCACTGCCCCTCTTTCTTGAGATGAGCTCAGCTTTTCCTTTAAGGAACATGTGAAATGTTTCCAGGGGACAGACTCTGGCTATGTCATTATCCACAGGGCAGCTGGCATTAGCCACGTGGTCCCAGCATGGCAGGGTCAGCAGCGGGGAGGGCTTTGGATGTCAGGAGCCATGAGGCCACAAAGTAGCCAGGACCCTAGGATTGTTGGCTACACTCTCAGAGGTGTCAAAAGACAGGTCAAGGCAGCTGAGAAAGTTGTGGAAAGTAAACAGAAAAGTCTTTCTGAAGATCGGGTGAGGAATACGGGGCGGGAAGCAGGGGCAAGAAGCTAGTTTTGCTCAAGGAGTTTGGACTGCATTTGCCTGGGAAAAATACCTGCTACTGTGTCTCTTGCTACATAAGCCAATAATCAGGGAATGAGGTCACTGCAGCCTGACCTTTTTTTTTTTTGAGACAGAGTCTCACTCTATCACCCAGGCTGGAATGCAATGGCGCGATCTCAGGTCACTGCAACCTCTGCAGTGAGGAGGGTTCACGTGATTCTCCTGTCTCAGCCTCCCGAGTAGCCGGGATTACAGGCGCCTGCCACCATGCCCAGCTAATTAGTTTTTGTATTTTTAGTAGGGATGGTGTTTCACCATCTTGGCCAGGCTGGTCTTGAGCTTCTGACCTCATAATCCACCCGCCTTCTCAAAGTGCTGAGATTACAGGCATGAGCCACTAGCACCCGCCCAGCCTGACCATGAAATGGAACATGGAAGGAAACTCAAAGGCAAAGAGGCGGGGGCACTGCTAGCTCTGGCCTTCCAGAACTTTCCCCTCAGCAGCAAGCATATTGCAAGGGCCAAATATTTCTGAAGAGCATTCCCCACCTGTTTTTCCACAGCCCACATCTTCCCCCATGCTGAGGGGCCACTGGGTTGGTGGAGTTCAGGGTGGTGTCCATTATTATAAGATCTATTATGGGCTGGGGGCAGTGGCTCACGCCTGTAATGCAAGCACTTTGGAGGCCAAGGCAGGCAGATCACCTGAGGTCGGGAGTTCCAGAGACCAGCCTGACCAACTAGGTGAAACCCCGTCTTTTAAAAAAAAAAGAAGAAGAAGAAGAAAAAGGTTCTATTATGATAATCAGAAAACACATCCTTTTCGCTGGGTGCCGTGGCTCACACCTGTAATCCCAGCACTTTGGGAGGCTTAGTGTAGGTGGATCACCTGAGGTCAGGAGTTTGAGACCAGCCTGGCCAACATGGTGAAACACTGTTTCTACTAAAAATGCAAAAATTAGCTGGGCATAGTGATGCATATTCTCAGCTACATGGGAGGCTGAGGTAGGAAAATTGCTTGAACCCAGGAGGCAGAGGCTGCAGTGAGCCAAAACTGTGCCACTGCACTTCAGCCTGGGCTACAGAGCAAGACTCTGTCTCAAAAACAAACAAATAAATAAATAAATAAAAGGAAAAAACCACATCCTAGCTGGAGGAAAATTTAAAAGCTGTAGAAAAATGTCAAGAAGAAATACAAAATGACCTGTTATCCAGCCACCCAGACAATATCACTGATCGTCTGGGTGTATCGTATTTCCTTCTGGCCTTGTTTTTCAAGGCATGCTTCAAAAATTTTTTTTCTTTGGAGGTAGAGTCTTGCTCTGTTGCTAGGCTGGAGTGCAGCGGAACAATCTCAGCTCACTGCAACCTCTGCCTTCTGGGTTCAAGTGATTCTCATGCCTCAGCCTCCCTTCTCAGGCATGTACCATCACACCCAGCTATTTTTTGTATTTTTAGTAGAGACGGAGTTTCACCATGTTGACCAGGATGGTCTCGATCTCCTGACCTCGTAATCCACCTATCTTAGCCTCCCAAAATGCTGGGATTACAGGCATGGGCCACCTCGCCTTGCCAAAAAAAATTTTTTTCTTAAGTGAAACAGGGTCTTGGTATGTTGCCCAGGCTGGTCTCAAACTCCTGGGCTCAAGGGATCCTCCCTCCTTAGCCTCATGGGTAGCTGGGACTACAGGCACATACCACCATGTTGGGCAAAATAAATTTATTTATTATTATTATTATTTTTAGCCCAAAGTTTTACTGGTTTGTTGTCAAAGGCAAAATAAATTTTTTTAATCATGGGTGACATTAGATAGTAGAGCAGGGCAAGATGGCTCAAGCCTGTAATCCTAGCACTTTGGGAGGCCAAGGTGGCAGGTCACCTGAGCTCAGGAGTTCGAGACCGGCCTGGGCAACATGGTGAAACTGCCTTTCTACAAAGAATACAAAATTTAGCTGGATGTAGTGATGTGCACCTATAATCCCAGCTACTCAGGAGGCTGAGGCAGGACAATCACTTGAACCCAGAGAGGCAAAGGTTGTAGTGAGCCAAAATCCCGTCACTGTATTCCAGCCTGGGCAACAGAGTAAGACTGTCTCCAAAAAAAAAACGATCGATAGATAGATGATAGAACCTTGACATTCAACATTGTATCGTAGCATTTTTTCCATGGGTGGTGGGAGGTGTCTTTGAGAACATTTGTCAGACACCAGCAGAAACCTACCAGGCAGGCAGTTTCTCTCCTTCACAGTGAGAAGGCGAAGGGTGCTGGCTCTCTGGTTGGAACGGAGCCTGGATCCCACCCCAGCCTGTTGCTCCTTCCAGGGTCAGTTGGAGCCGCTGGCCTCTCATGCCAAGCTTCCTCCCACGGGACCTCCTGAAGCATTCTGCAGCTTCAGTGTCAACAGCACTTTTGTCTGCTCCACTTGGGAGAGAGGGCTGGAGAGTCTGTTTTCTAGTGTGTCCCTGATGGATCCAGTCCAAGTTTGATGGCCCTGTGTACTTGCTCAGTTTCCCTAGATGGCTCTGCTCCAAGAACAGCTCAGAAGCCACGGAAACAAAAATCCCTGCGTCTGCAGCCAAAACGGACAGTCTATTTCCTGATACTCTGCGTGCACATGTGTGTGTGTGTGTGTGTGTGTGTGTGTGTGTGGCGAGGGGTGAGGCTCAACCTGCAATTTTATTTGTGATAGTGTGAAACAGTTCAGTACATAGCTCTGCCCTGGCTTCCCCTTGCATTCATGCAAATAGATGATCTGTTCCTCCCTAGCTGACATAGTTGTAAAGAATAAGTGACTGTGAATGATAGTTTTTGTAAAAGAATTCGACCATTAGCTGGACCAGGACTTTGTTGATAATAAAAATAACAGTGTCTTTTTTTGCTGTTGTTTGAGATGAAGTTTCATTCTGACATGCAGGCTGAAGTGCAATGGTGTGATCTTGGCTCGCTGCAACCTCCACCTCCCAGGTTCAAGCGATTCTCCTGTCTC